CCCACACCGCACCCTGACCCCACGCCCCCTTGTTTTCCCCCCCTCCCCCTTATTTCCCCCCTCCAGCTACGTGGTGCTGGACCTGATGGAGTCCGACCTACACCAGATCATCCACTCCTCCCAACCCCTTTCCTTGGAGCACGTCCGCTATTTCCTCTACCAGCTCCTCCGCGGCCTCAAATACATCCACTCCGCCAACGTCCTCCACCGGGACCTCAAACCCTCCAACCTCCTGGTCAACGAGAACTGCGAGCTGAAGATCGGCGATTTCGGCATGGCTCGCGGCCTCGGCGCCGACCCCCGGCACAGCAAAGCCTTCCTCACCGAATACGTGGCCACGCGTTGGTACCGAGCCCCGGAGCTGCTGCTCTCCTTACACCGTTACACCCGAGCCATCGACATGTGGTCGGTGGGCTGCATTTTTGCCGAAATGTTGGGCCGTCGGCAACTTTTCCCCGGTCGCAATTACGTCCATCAACTTCAACTCATCATGGCGGTTTTGGGGACGCCGCCGGCCGGCGTCATGGCGGCCATCGGTGCCGAAAGGGTTCGTGCTTATCTACAGAGCCTCCCTCCTCGCCCGCCGGTGCCTTGGGAGAGTTTGTACGGCGACGCCGAACCGGCGGCCTTGGCTTTGTTGGGGAGGATGCTGAGGTTCGACCCGAGGGAGCGGGTCGGCGTCGCCGAAGCGTTGCGACATCCCTTCCTGGCTAAATATCACGACCCGGAGGACGAACCCGAATGCGTCCCGGCTTTCGATTTCGCTTTCGAGCGTCGCGTGCTCACCAAGGAGGAGATCAAAGCCGCCATCGTGGCCGAAATCGAGGATTTCCATCAGCGTCGCGACGGCATCCGGCGTCAGATCGCCTTCGCCGGCGCCGGCGCCGGCAGCCAGGGCAACGTGGGCAACGTTGGGGTCAACGTGGGCAACGTTGGGGTCAACACGGCCAATGTTGGGGTCAACGTGGCCAATGTGGGCAACATTGGGGTCAACACGGCCAATATTGGGGTCAACGCGGCCAATGTCGGTGTCAACGTGGCCAATATGGCCAATGTCGGGGTCAACGTGGCAAATGTAGGCAATATTGGGGTCAACGCGGCCAATGTTGGGGTCAACGTGGCCAATATGGCCAATGTTGGGGTCAATGTGGCCAATGTTGGGGTTAACGTGTCCAACGTAGCCAATGCTGGGGTCAACGTGGCCAATATGGCCAATGTTGGGGTCAACGTGGCCAATGTTGGGGTCGGCATGGCCAATGTTGGGGTCAACGCAACCAATATGGCCAACGCTGGGGTCAACACGGCCAATGCTGGGCTGAACGTGGCCAACATGGGGCTGAACGTGGCCAATGTTGGCATCAACGTGGCCAATATGGCCAACGCCGGCATCAACACGGCCAACGTTGGGGTCAACGGGGCCAATATGGCCAACGCCGGGGTCAACACGGCCAATATTGGGGTCAACGTGGCCAAAATTGGGGTCAACGCATCCAACGCCGGCATCACCGTGGCCAACGTGGCCAATAGTGGCATCACCATGGCCAATGCTGGCATCACCGCAGCCAATGTCAACACCAGGGTCAACGTGGCCAACATTGGGGTCAATGCGGCCAACACCGGCATCTCAGTGGCCAACATTGGGCTCAACGCGGCCAACGCCGGCATCCGGATGATCAGCGTGGCCAACGTTGGCATCAGTGTGGCCAATGCAGCCAATGCTGGCATTAATGTGGCCAATAGTGGCATCAACGTGGCCAGCATGGCCAACGCCGGCATCAATATGGCCAACAGCGGTGCCAACGTTGCCAATATGGCCAACGCCGGCATCAATATGGCCAGTATGGCCAACGTCAACCTCAATATGGCCAACGCCGGCGTCAATATGGCCAACGCCGGCATCAATATGGCCAACGCCGGGGTCAACGTGGCCAACATGACCAACGTCAACGTCAATATGGCCAACGCTGGGGTCAGTATGGCCAACATGACCAACGTCGGGGTCAATATGGCCAACGTCGGGGTCAATATGGCCAACGCCGGGGTCAATATGTCCAACCTGGCCCCCACCACCAACGCCAGGACCGAGCCAACCGTCCCCACGCCGTGGCCTTGCACCGATGTGGATATGGCAAGTCCCGGCCCTACAACGGCCCCCGATTGCCCCATGGAATCGCCACGGGTCAAAGAAGAACCGGAAATCCCGGTGGTACCGAAACGGGACGGCGCCATTTCCGATGACACCAAAGCGGCCCTAAAAGCGGCGCTGCTGAAATCCGCCATGAGGAATAAGAGCAGAGGTTTGGGGGTCTTGGGGTTTTGGGGTCGGGGGGGGAGGGGGACACGAAGGAGATTTGGGGTCTTGGGGTGGGGGATCCGTTTGGGGTTTTGGGTTGGGGTCCCCATTTTGGGGT